TTTTTTTTTTTTTTTGATAAATTCCTTTTATGAGAATGAAATGATGTCATGGGTTAGTGTATAGAAACTAGAATTATTTAATCCTATAGGGCTGATTTGTTTTAGGAATTGAAGTAATTTCCCATGTGCACCTTTGTTTTTGTAGGAATTACCTGAAAGGTGGGAAACTACCAAAAAGATTGCAGCAACTGTGAGACATGAAGTTTCACCTCTCCAAAATGCAGAAGTCACTCTCATAAGGAAAAAATGTATTTTGTTTGATGTAAGCCAGTTACCAAGTTTTTGTTTGTTTGTTTGTTTGTTTTAAGAAAGGTTTTGCAAAGATAACTGAAACTGTTTGAGATTCACTTTGTTTTTTCTTTTCCCTTCATCAGACAAAGCAGGCAGCATTCAGAGAGAGATTCAGGTGCTACGCCCCTTTTGGATTTAATGCAGAAAATCCATACACAGTGCTTGACAAGGTAATATGGATCTCAAATATCTTGTGTGCTTTACAATAACTATTTTAAAAATGAGTTTAGACACTAAGATACTGCTATATTTTGCCTTAGTTTTGCCATTAGTTATAGGAATAGAGAGTTATTTAAAACCCAGTTAAAAGGAATTTTCCGCAAGCAAATCGTATTGTGTTTTAAATTACATTCCAAAACCACCATCACCATCAAAGTAATCATACTAGTGAAAGTAACAACTACTGTTACTACTGGCTTTTGAGCACTTATTGTATATATCAAGAATTTTGTTAAGCATATTACTTACATTATTTAAGTTCTCATAATGTTCCTAAGGTATGATTTCTACGCTCCCTATTTCAGATAAAGAAACAAGCTTGTGTAATTAAGTAATTTGTTGGAGGTTACAGAGTTAGTAAGAGACAGAAGGAGGATTAAACTTCAGGCTGTCTAAATTTTTAAAAATCAGAAATTTATCTACTGCTTCCCATGTGATACTTTTGCTAGTAACTTTTAACCATAGTGAGAAAAGTTCATAACTTATTCTTACCTTTGGACATGAATATATTGAGGCATTTGATCCTGAAGTGGACAACTATATTTTATTAGAGTTGACTATAAGAATGAATATAGTGGGCAAATATCCAAAATGGTAAGTAATTCATAGAAGACTTGAAAAGATGCTTTAAACATTTATTAGAAAAATAATATCTCTCTCCAGGAACTTAATCTAGCAGCTAAAATAAGCAAATAATTTTGTGAAGTTTAGATTCAGGAGCTGGGAATCTTTCTGAGTTGTTCATCTGGGCTGCCATTGCTGATTTTACTTCATGCTGGAGATAGTCTGTATTCCTTAGAGTGTGGTAAAACCTGCAGCTGACACAGCTCTCATCTTGTGTTCCAAATTTTGGGTTGAATTTAGGTTTAATTGCTTTAAACTTATTCACAAAATACCATTCTGTAGCATCAGGTCTTCTTTTTCACTTGGCGGAAGAAAATTGGTTAATATATTCATTGAAAAGGGAGTAGGTTAGAATATGCTAATAGACTTTTTTTTTTTTTAAGATTATATCTAAATTGCAGGTGGTCTGAACAGATTGTGAATGGGGAAAAGTTTTTACTTGACTAACCAACATGCTGTATGTAAACATTTACTTCAGTTATTTATTGAATCTTGCCATTTTCATGCTATCATGTAGCAGCATATAATTACATATTTAAAAGTCAGAGATGCTTATGCTTGTACCTATAAGGATATTTTGAAAATTGCAGGGCTGGGTTAACTTTTTCTTTTCCTTTTTTTTTTTT